GTGAGAACAACACTGATAATTTTGGGTTTTTTTTTTTTTTGTCTCTTTTATTCCTGCCATATCCCTGAGCAGAGGTTTATTACAATAAACTTGGATACTAAATGAGGCTTTATTAATTAGGGATGGGCAGAAAACCAGCTGTGACATAGTGACCCCGGGTGGGAAGCCAGACCAGAGTAATTAAGACATAACATGGTAATGGGGACAAATAATGAATGCACTCAGTGACCTGATGGAGAGCCGTGCCCCCTCTCCAGGCCTGTTTTTTTTTTCTTTTCCTTTTTTTTCCACCCTTTTAAACTGGTAGTCAGCTTGAATTGCTTTTATAATTTACTTTGGTACAGATTATGTCCGAAGTCGTGAGACTCCAAGAAAATATGGGCTAGTGTTGAGACACTGTAAACTCCAAGGCTGCTCCTGTTCCTGCAGGACTGTTCCTCAAAATAGGGCTCAGGGGTCCGTGCCCCTTTGTCATTGATCATTTGGCATTTCTATCCCATGGAGAGAGACTAGCTGAAGCACACCCTGAGCCTGGCACGCATCTCCTCATTCAGATCATCCTGTGGATCTTCCTGTTTCTACCCTTGATGCTGAGTTCCCTCTGAGACTGAGGGAGAAATGAAACTTTGGAAGAAGCCCATGGGCTCCCTAAGATCTTGGAGGGTGAGAATGAACTTTCTGTATCTCTGTGCCAGGTTGGGCTGCTTGCTGAAGGGGTTGTGATAAGCTACTTGCTCCTCAGAGATGCTTCCAAGAGTTCCCATCAGAAGTCTGTCAACACCAAACTGGCAGAGCAGTTCAGTTCATAGGGAGCGTGCTTCACCGTTTCCACGCGGAAACAAACCTCACCTTGTGACCCTCTTCCTTTAAAACTTGTGGGATTGGAACAAGGATGATTGTGTGTAAGCATTGTTCTTGAAATTTAATAAACTTGGTGAGTGCTACCACTGGTGTTTTATTAATGCACACTCACTTCTTGCTCAAATGTAGTTGTCTGGCACCTTTGCAAATGTGAAAGTTAAGCAGGATCCTTATTTACACAACTTCAAATCTGACACAGAGTAGGTGCTTTTTTATAAAAGCTTATGAACTAATTATCTGTTGAGGCACATCAAGTGGCGACTCAAGGCACTTCTCCAAATCAAGGAGCCCAGTAAAACACAAAACAAATGTACCAACAGCATCAAACAAGCCATCTGCATTTCTGTGATGGATGTGAAGTTATTTTGCTTTCTATTTTCTTGAATTTTAAGGTGAATTACTTCAATTCTCCATTTGTTCACATACATCAATATAGTCAAAATGTTCAAGGTACATGATATAACTAAGGGAGATTTTCTAGGCGTGATTTAAAATCATTCAGACCTCAAATTATTCTTTCATTGAAATAAAATCTTCACCAGATGTCTCAAATAGTAAAGGATTACTAAATAAGTTGTAGCCTAATATTAATAGAAAAAAGTTATGAATGTTCCAATTATAACTCTCTTAAGTTGTCCATTAGCTCTACTCCAGGTAAAAAGGCTTTTCTTCTTTTCTGTAAAAAATTCCATAACAGATGTGAGGGAGCAATCGTATTCTTGGTAATAAGTCTTTGTACAATGAAAGCACTGTTTTTATTTTTGTTTTTTATTTTGTTTTTGTGCTGTGCATTCTGTAAATTATGTGGCAGTTGGTATCTTTAATCAATCAATAGAAACATTCTGCATCTATTGACATTTATTCTGGGGGCAGGCAAAAAAGGCTTGGTAAAAAGAAAAGAAATAGTTGAACCCATGTGTGACTTTAAAGCAGCTCTGTTGGCCCTCATCACTTTAAGCAAAGAAGATATGTTGCATGGTCTCTTCCCTAAAAACATTTTTGAAAAAAACAATGAGTTTCCATGAATTAGAAAAATAACATATTTGTAACGGTACCTATAGTTTCTTCCTCAAGACCTTTAATATTTTGTTGAACATGGTGTTCATTTGGATGAGTGATTTCCAAAGCATATAATAAGAGATTTCTCTATGTGTTAGTCAGCTTTCTGTGACTGTGACAAAATATCAGAGAGAAATAACTTATAAGAAGGAAAGAATTATTTTGGCTTACAGTTTCTGAGGTTTTCATCCATAGTCACTAGGCTTCATTGCTTCTGGGCCTATAATGAGGTAGTACATCATGGGATGACTTCATAGTACCCCATGAAGTCAGCAATTAAAAATACAGGAAGGGCCTGGAGTCTCAATGTCTCCTTTAGGCACATATCTGCAATAATTAAACTCTCTTCCAAGTAGGTCCCACCCCCTAAAGGTTCCACTACCTCCCAATAGCTCCATGGACTGAAAACCAAACTTTTACACACAAACTTTTGAGTAATATTCCAGATCCAAATCATAGCATGTAATTATTTGCAGTCTATATATGTTATTAATCTAATATATTAAAGAATACCTAGCTCTTGTAGATAAAGGGTTTGCTCTAACTCCTTCAATGGTCAAGGCAAACATTTATGGTTTAGAAGAAAAGAACTAGTGATGTGAGTAGGGAGAGTGGCTATGCCGAGGAATTTTTTTATTTTTTTTTTTAGTACCAGGGCTTGAACTCAGGGGTGCTCGACTACTGAGCCACATCCACACCCCTATTTTGTATTTTATTTAGCGACAGGGTCTCACTGAGTTGCTCAGCATCTCACCATTGCTGAGGTTGGCTTTGAACTCACGATCCTCCTGCCTCAGACTCTTGAGTTGCTGGGATTACAGGCATATTCCACCAAGCCTGGTTGGTGAAGAACTTTTTAGCCAGCCTGAAAACAAGTGCTTTATCATCTCCACACCTCCCCTCCTCCATACCTTTCCGTTCTCCTGTTTGGGTGGATTTTATTTAAAATTCAGGTGCAGGAAATTTAGGTCTTTGAAGAAATAGTTTCCACTTTTTTGATTTTAAAGTGAAAGAAAACTAAGTGCCTCATTAAGTTGCCAAGGATGGATCTGAATTGGCAATCCTCCTGCCTCAGCCTCCTGAGCCTCTGGGATTATAGGCGTGTGCCACAGTGTCCAAGTGTATGGCAGTGTTTTAATGAGCTTTTCCATCACTGTGGCCTTGATACCTGATAAGAACAACTTAGAGAAGGAAATATTTACCTGGGGATCACAGCTTCAGAAGACTCAGACCACAGATGGCCAACTCAATTGCTCTGGGCCTAAAGTGAGGCAGCCCATCATGGGGGAAGGGCCCAGCAGAGGAAAACTGCTCACCTAAGGGCAGCAAAGAGGTAGAGGCAGAGACAGAAATAGGGTGGAGCAAGGGTCATAGGGTCACCCTTCAAAAACGGTCAGGTGGGGCATGACCCGAGTGACCCACCTCCTCCAGCCAGGCACCCCCTACTACAGTAATACAACGGTCCATCCATTCGATGCAGGATGGGCTGATAAGGTTACAGTTTTCCCAATCCCACCATTTCTCTTCTGAATAACCCTACATTAGTACAGGAGCCTGTGAGAAGGACACCTCACATAGGAACCACAATAGGCTGCTGTAATCTCACCTTGGACACTAGGGCAGGAGGATCACACATTGAAGCCCAACCTGAGCAACTTAACAAGGCACTCTCTTACAAACACACAGACACACACACACACATACACACACACACCAAAAATCAACAACAACAAAAAAGAAATTTGGGGGGCTACGGAAATACTTAAGTTGTAAAGCACTTTCCTGACATACCCAAGGCCCTGGATTCAATGGTCAGTATGTCCAAAGAACACAAAACACAAACCAAAACAAAAAGCAGGGCTTGAGAGAATGTGGTCAACACTTCTGCCCCTCCCATCATGGAAGGATATAGCAACAAGACACTTTGACCTTGGACTTGCCAGTCTCCAGAACAGTGGGAAGTGGACTTCTATTGTTAATAAATTACCCAGTCTAAGGGGTTTTAATTAACAGTAGCAGATAGGGACCCAGGTGTGTTGGAACCCCTCCATTTCTTCCCCTAGTGGGAAGGACACTTTTGCTGGTTCTAGGATTGTTTACTTCCGTATTTGACCCCTCATCACTTTGAACATATCAACCCACTGCCTTTTGCATTCCCTAAGGTTTCTAGCAGGAAATCTGATGAGAACCTTGTTGGGAAATGATGATGAACTCTCCCTCCCTCTCAACCCCTTGGGTATTAATGCCCAGCTCTAGAGCATCTTAGGGAGCAGAGCATTGTTATAGCCTCCCTATGTGAGTGAAGTGCTACCATCCCTTGGGCTCAATCATTGTGGGTTGGAAGAAAGGGGAATGGAATACTTTTGAGTGTACGTATGATGAGGTCTTTAAAAGTTGAAAGTTAGTATGGATTTTCAGACTCCAAATGAAAAGACCATTGAAGTATCCTACCAGTTTTCATCTCTAAATATCAATAAATATCAGTCTGCATGACCCACAGAAAACAAAAAGCTTCTGGGATCCTATCTTCTTCTTTTCAAAGTCAAAAAGGTCCTGGAGGCCCCAAATTGAGATGACTCCTAGGGGCTATGCCCAAGGATGGCTGTGTCATTTCTTGCTCTGACATCACAAGGAGCCCCTGTGAGGTAATCTCAAACTCCTGCTATATAAGAGAGTGGCTGTGGGTGGGTTTTTGTCCATAAGTACAGGAAGCTCTTGGTAGTGACCTGTCGGACTCCCAGATAGCTAGTGTGTTTGGTGGTTGGTGGTTGGTATTTGGTATTTGTGGTGGTTTACTGTTGGTTTTTTGATTTTTTGATTTGGGATTTTTGTTTGGTGTTTTGCTTATTGGTTGTTGGTTTTGGTATTTTTCTTTTTTTTTTTTTTTTTTTTTTTTTTTTTTTTTTTTTTTTTTTTTTTTTTTTTTTTTTTTTTTTTTTTTTTTTTTTTTTTTTTTTTTTTTNTTTTTTTTTTTTTTTTTTTTTTTTTTTTTTTTTTTTTTTTTTTTTTTTTTTTTTTTTTTTTTTTTTTTTTTTTTTTTTTTTTTTAGCTAGCATCCCTAGTTGGTGTTCCGGTTTAGGATGCATAGACAGAGTAGTGAGAGTAGTGTAGTGGCTCAGGAGCCCAGCTCCTGCTACGAGAAGGCCTTCACGGACCATTATTGTGTCCTGAAGAACATTGGGGAGGGGAGCTTCGGGCAGGTGGTACTAGCCCGCCATCGCCTGACCGGGTTAGAAGTGGCAGTGAAAGTCTTGTCCAAGACAGTGGAGAAAGAAGCAGTGCTAGCTGAGCGGAATTGGTTGATAGACCTGGAACACCCATATGTAATCCAGCTCTTCCAAGTCATCGAGACCGACCAAAATATGTACCTCATCATGGAGCACGCAAGTGGGGGACAGCTGCGACGTTACATCCCGCACGCCGGTGGCCTACCAGAGGACCAGGTTCGCAGTGTGTTCAGGGAGATGGTGCATGTCGTGCATTACTGCCATGAGAAAGGGGTTGCACACCTGGACCTGAAGCCTGAGAACTTCGTGCTGGATGTCAAGGGTCACCTGAAGCTTATCGACTTTGGTCTGAGCATGAGCTTCACACCTGGGCAGAAGCTGACTGGGTTCAGGGGCACTCTCCTGTACAGCGCTCCTGAAATGGTTAAGGGTAAGGGATTCGAGGGACCCCCTGCTGACGTCTGGAGCTTGGGTGTCTCCTTGTATTTTATGCTTTCAGGGACAAGGCCATTTAAGATGAGCACTACTGAGGGGCTGAAGAAGCGAATCTTGGAGGTAAGCTACAGCATTCCCCCGCACGTGTCGGAGGAAGCCAGCGACCTCATCCAGCAAATCCTAACGCTGGACCCCAAACAAAGGCCTACTCTAGAGCAGATTCTGAGGCACCCATGGCTGACCCAGGATGAGCACTTCTCACCCAGGCTTCCCAGCCAGCTACTCCCGGAGCGGCCTGACCCAAACATTCTGACCATAATGCTTGACATGGGTTACAACCCTTATAAAGTCTGGTTGTCCCTGGCCAATCGCCAATTCGATGACGCCATGGGTACCTACCTTCTCCTCCAGCACCAGAAAAGCCAGAAGCCAGACTACGTGCTTGAGGCAAAGCCTGTGCGTCCTGGTGGTCGCCATCAGACGGCTGGGTCTTCCCCAGGGCCCCCTGCGGATCCTCCCCTGGTCCGCCCCAACAAATGCAATAGTGAGCCCGCCCTGGCCTTGCCCTGTGAGCAGCAGCCTGAGAAGGCCCAGCTATCAAGGCAGAAGCCTGCATGTGCCAGCGCACCTGTCCTTCCTCTCCACATGAAGACACCCCTTTCCAGCCGACCCCCCCAGAAGAAACCTGCGACCCAATGGCGTGTGTACCTTCGGCCCAAACCTCGTAGGGGAGTAGAAGGTGACAGCACAGCCTTCGCAGGGCAAGCCCATCAGAGAAACAGGGGCTGGAGGGGGATCACTAGGAGGATTGTCAACTCCCTTCAAAAATTGTGCTGCTGCATGCCGTGCTTCCGCCAAAGCAACGCTCCAGTGAACCCAGGTCACAGACGCCCTAGGTTCCGCAACAGAGTGGCTCAAGCAGATATGCCCAGGTGAGACAGACCAATGGACAGCCAGAGGCCCAGAGCTCTGAGCATCCCAACATCATGCCACCGGCCTTGGTCAGAAAACGGACTTCGACAGCTTCAGAACAGAGGTGTGCCCACTGGCTCAGGCTTCTCCATGCGGATTCCAGCCAGGAGCGCATCCAGATCTCCTCTACCCCCACTTGCCAGCGACATCAGAGACTTTCTCCTCAGACACTGCCCCCTGCCCTGCCCTTATGCAGAGATGGTTCTTAATAAATTTCTGTTTTTCAAATTGTATATTGATGTTCCAATGATTTATTTAAAAGGAAAAACAGGTTTAAAAATAGCAGGAGGGAGAAAAAAAGTGGGGAGGAAAAATTGGGGAGGACTCAGGGGAAGGACAGAAGCTCAGCAGCCATCCTTTCCAAGGCCTGGACTTGCCTTCAGTAGAGACTCGAGCCACTTGAGCTAGTGCACAATGGGACTCAAACACTTTGGGCTGATTGCAAAGCAATCCCTCTGGGTGGCAGTTGTTGAAGACCCAAGACTCCAAGACCACAAGACCACAAGACTCAGAGTGGTCTGTGGTATCTCTATATTTCTGTTTGCAGTGAGAGATGTGTCAGTAGGCAGGGGTGGGACTGCCAGCAGCAGAGGCTGGGAACTTTAGTCTCTATAACCCAAATGAGTGCATGGAGTGTGAGCACATGGATGTTGAGAGCCACAGCCAAAGGGGCCCCAACAAACTTCCAGCTGCCAGCAAACTTCCAGCTGCCAGCTGATGATTGGCTCACAGTGGCCCCAGCAACATCTAGCTGATTGGCTCCTCTGCAGTCATGTTCATTGGGCTGTTTCCCTGCCCTTCAGACTGC